GTTCGCTCGTTTTAATTAAAAGGTCCCCCTCGGCGGGCCCCCAATCAGCCCGGGCCCATATGCACGTGCATACCCTGCATACCCAGACGCTACACCCCTGACATGAAGACACACAGTACCGTAGCCTGAGTGTGATCAGAGTGGAGGAACACTAGAGGATCCAGAGAGCAGTTGGACTCTAGTTTGGAGATGGGCTTTGGAGAGCTGACATGGACACTGAGAGTCAGCGTGTAGGGTCACATACTGCAGAGTGGAGGAGACTGTGGCTACATGATCCTGAACCCGAACCAGCACTGAGATGCTCTTCAGAGGCACTGAGTCACACAAACACAACATCACAAATACAGCAGAGCAGCATCACATATACTCCTCACATACAGCTCTCTGAGAGATAAATCTTGGCTTTAATAAAATAAATAACTGAATAGGAGAACAGGGTGTGTGACAAAATGTGTTGAAAAATAATGTTCTTATCCTCTGAGAAAAAAATTAATTCTGTTAAATACTGAGATTTAAAACCATCGCGACCAACTTCCCCAAGTCAACAACACCTCAGCTCTCCTACGTATTATAAACGTTTTAAGGAAACAGGTAACAGCAAACAGGTGAATTCGTACCTGACTCGTTTTTCTCAGTTACAAGACCGCAGATCTCCATTTTGACGCCCGTTAGACGAAATTACGATTTTTCTTCAAATAGAAAGTGAAACTCAAACACCGAAACTACTGCCTTTATATCTGCCTTAAATATTCACAGATCGACTCGTTAAAATTAAATGATTAAGTCTGTTTCTTTACGTTTCTAATGCGGTCAAAGTCGCTGAATCACTAAAGGCCAATAGTAGATAGTGAAGTCATGCCTCATGAATATTAATTGCGTTGTGTCCGTGGTTCCAAACAACCAATAGCTCCAGAAATGAAACCCATTCATTTTAGTGCTTGTCAAGCACACTCGCCAGAAAGTTGAGGAAATTACGGCAGTTTTTGGCATTTTAACGCATTAGTTTACCTCTCGGAAATCTGGCCAGTAGCCTAGTTGTATTTTATTAAACGCGTTATAGTTAATGATGTTTAGTTTTAGATGATAGGCAATTATGCAGTTAGATAACGCGAGAAACACCTTAATAGCGATCATAACCAGATGCTAGTTGTCATATTTTTAAGTTTTTAGTCTTTTTGCAATCTTTCTCTCCCTGTAGGAAGTTGAATGAGTTTCAGTGAAGACTGCCCATTAAAGGAATACAAGAAAGAGTTTACCTGAACGCTGTTGGTTGCCTTGTGTTTTTTTAATTTTTTTAATTGGGTTAAATTCTGTATTTGCTGGCCTTTTTTTAACATTCACTTATATTGTCTTCTTACATAAATGTCCTAAAATAATACTGGGATGTGAGTAATTAATCTTTTTAAATTCAACATTTAAAAAAAAAAAAAAAAAAAAAACAATAGTTTACCTCTCGAAAATCTGGCCAGTAGTTGTATTTTATGAAACGCGTTATAGTTAATGTTTAGTTTTAGATAATAGGCAGTTATGCTATATTTGCAGTTAGATAACGTGAGAAACACCTTAATAGCGATCATAACCAGATGCTAGTTGTCATATTTTTAAGTTTTTAATCTTTCTGCATTCTTTCTCTCCCTGTAGGAAGTTGAATGAGTTTCAGTGAAGACTGCCCATTAAAGGAATACAAGAAAGAGTTTACCTGAACGCTGTTGGTTGCCTTGTGTTTTTTTAATTTTTTTAATTGGGTTAAATTCTGTATTTGCTGGCCTTTTTTTAACATTCACTTATATTGTCTTCTTACATAAATGTCCTAAAATAATACTGGGATGTGAGTAATTAATCTTTTTAAATTCAACATTTAAAAAAAAGCTAAACTTATAAACATTGAGTGTTTGATAATGTCTAAATATACAATGCAAAACATAAAATAAATAAATAAATAAGCTATTATGACCGGTAAAACCCTTTACAGCAACTAGAGTAGAGCTAAATATATGTAGGCTATATTTATTATATATTTATATTTGTTATATATTTATATTACTATAACAGCCATACGGGCATCTAGTGGTTAAACCATGGCATTACATTGGAATATTATTTTTCTGGCCACCAAACGCCTCTAATTTGCCTCTTTGCACTGGAATTTAAAAACATTTTCTCCATTTTAACCCTAAATACTACGCTAATTGTAATATAAATAATAAGCATATTAGAAAAAATATTAATGCTGTCTCTTCATCTAAAATGAGGTCAGCGTAGTTATCAATACTAAATCCATGCACATGATGTGTTAATAATCACTAGAAATTGCTGCAAATATAGTGAAACTGCTGTCTATCCTACTTAAACACATTCAAACATATTGACAGCTTCTAGTTGTTTGGAAGTATTGAGAGCTCCATGAACCACGTGACCGCGTGGCGGCGAGATCAAAGCGTGTCGCAACCACTGATCTATAATAGAGAATTATTATGTATAGATCAGTGGTCGCAACTCTGTTTCTCAACGGCTCTGTTTGGAACTAAGAGGCTTGTTTGAGATGCGCCTGCCTGAAATGTAGGCATGACAAAGCGATATCATCCTCTTTTGGAAGGCCAAACAAAGTAGTTTCGCTTTCACAACGAAACACAGCGCCTTCACGACAT